AAACTGTGAGCCTTTATGGTTGTAAAAACAAGCTTGGACATGCAATGTAAACACAGTTAGAGTTACAGTGTCTGAAAAAGCCCTGGCAAAGCAGGCCCAAACACCAAGAGTACAAGAAAAGGGCCTCCACTTTCACATCTGTATAGGAAGATAGACGTTGCATGCTTCTCTGAGAGAAGATAGGTGCTGCTCCTAGTACTCACACGCAGGATCTAGGTTGCATTTGATGATAAGGCCACGCCATATTTTAATCTGTTCCTGCTCATCTAAGCCCCTTTGGCCCAGTCAGACTCTTCACATGCAAATGACCTGAGGAAATATGGCATGACATAAAAAAAAAATTTAAAAGGAATATAAGGAGAGAACATGTCACTGGCAAGTGCCACTAGAACATGGGATCTTCACTATTGCCATGACAGAAGGACACTAGTTGTAGGTAAGAGTCCAGGATATTACCTCTCTTTGTGCTTTCTATGCTTCATCTGGTGTTTACACTGATCAGCCCTTTAAGAAATCTCAAGATCAACTTTCCGTGACCAGTCAGCCACGCTTTGGTTACTGGCTCAGTTACCAACACAGGACTGTTGGACCCACTATATATTTAGCAGCAACATATTTACAGGATCTTTACTAAATTAAACTTGATAAGCTTTCCTCATCGTATTTCACCAGTTCCCTTAAATAAGCCTTAACTTTTAATTAACAATTATTTTATTTTGCAGGCAATACATTTCATTTATCAATCAAGCATTCCTCTCTATCCTAAGAACATCCACTTATTTTTCAGACTCATCTGCTTTTTCACACATTTCAAACCTTGTGATGATTTAAGGATGGATTACTCAAACTTTCGTCACCTTGAATTTTGCTGCCAAATCTTTAGTTACCATATCTTAAATTCTTATCTTCGTATACAATAACATCTAAATTTTCTCAGGGCAAACTAAAAGTCTACTGCCAAAATAATACTGTCAGTAAACGTTCCTATGCAGAGATTGTCTACATTGCTGAAAAAAACCCAAACTACCAACACCAAAACTGGAGGCCTCCCAAAACTGATACTTTTAAGAGAGAGAAATTAATAAAGCTGTATAGAGAAGCATCCACTATAGTTATACAAAAAGGTATGAATATGAGCTTCTTGCTCCAGTGTTTATAAAAGCAAATTTAAAAAAACAACCAAACAAACAACAAAAACCCCCAATGCTGACCAGTTATCCAAACGGCTTTAAACTCTTTCTCTAGAATCCAGTTCAGTAATGATGTGCTTTTCCTTTTTCATTATGCAGATTATTAAAACCGCATAAGAATTCTCACCTTTGAAAAATATTCCTCCTGCCTTGTTATTTTAGTTAACGGTATAAATTTGATAACACAGGTCTCAAGAGACACAGAAGAGAGGTCTGACCTAATTTCAAGGATTTCAGATTTTTATTTTGTGAAATGAATACTATTTATCTGCCTGAAAACAAAACCCGAAGAACAGAACTATGCACTTGAGAGATCAGTATGGATATCAAAGCAACTTGATTAGATCCCATATGAATTAGATTGCTGTATCATATTTTGGAAATTGCTTTATGGTATTTTGGAAAAATTTTGTTATATTTGTCTGAGTTCAGGACTAGAGGTCAGGAACTCCAGATTTTAATAACAGCTGACAGAGACTATGTAGGCAAAACTACTTCAATATTTTTTCTCAAGTATGTCACCTGGAAAATGAGGAGAATGATGTAGATTCTTTCACGTGAGAATAAAGGAGGAGAATTACAGCTATGTTTAAGACATCTTGGAGAATAAGCTGAACTACACTAAACTGTTAGCAGACTTCTATAGCTGTCCGCCCTTCTGGCCTAAAACTATCAAAGAAAACTCAAAATCTTAAATATAACTCTTAAAGGTAAAACTGAGTTAAGCAACTGAGTTAAATAAGAAAAAGTCAATTTGGACAGTGTTTATTTAGGGTAAACTTTGAATATTTTAATTACATATGTTTATTTCAGAAAAAAGAGTGAGGACAAAAAAATTTAGAAAGATTACTTATTTTAAGAAAAGCATACTGGCCTAGTATTATTGGGATTTTTTACATGATCAAATGAAGTACCCTGTAAAATTGCACCTCTCCAGTTTACTCTATTACCATGTTGTATGGTAATATTGGGCAATCATATGGAGAGAAGGGCTGATGCTTTCTCCAATTCAAATTTTACTTAAGTTTAGTTAAAAGTGATTTCAAGGAATTATGATAATAAGAGTTATTCTAGTAATGGAAATTTACTAACCAGAAGGTATAAATTAAATTAAACCTATTACAATAGAGATACTTGAAGGGAAAGAATGAAAAGAGAAAGAATTTAAATCCATCCAAAATAGGCTGGCAGAACAGCTCTAACTGAAGCAGAAAAAGTATGGTCATTTTCTCAGCCTGAAAAGCCCAAAAAGGGACTCTAACCTAGAGAGTTTGAAATCGTTACAACAATCATTTGAAAAGAATCTCCTTTGTCAGTCTTATAACAGTATAATTCTTAATTCAAGTTAATGACTTAGGGATAAATCCTGGAGAAGAAGTAAATCCTTCAAGAAAGGCCTCTACTTCATACAAAAGCTATCGAAGAGCTTAGTGACAAAATCCTCTGCCCCAGTTGGTCAGGCTGCCTGGGCAGCTGGTCTGTTGCAGTTAATATACATTGTAAAAGGTACACATTGTAAAAGGACTTACAACTGGTTACCTTCCATGTGGATATTTGGTCTTTTCTTCTAGGGTATTTCAGGGTTCTTCTTTGAGGTTTCAATGGCATTGGATCTTGTTCTCTCATCCCATGTATCATTCAAATAACTCAGTGTCTCAGCTAATGCAGTGTTTGGCTACTTGTGGTTTCTGATTAACTTAGCGATGCATTTCCACAGTTTTTATGCAGTTTCTGGTTCATGATCAGACATTAATGTGGAAAAATTACTTCCATTTCATTTAACGTCAAACATTATATGACTGCATCATCATTTTAAATTACCTTGCAACAATTAGACAGTTACAGGTCTACAGATTGCTGCCTCTGGCATGCATTGCAAAGTATAATGATAACCTGTTGCCCTTATTTTATAACTTCCTTTCTTTCAGACAATATTCATCGTAATCAACCAGTAGACTTTTTGTTGTATCAGAGTAGCACCTGTATCAAAATATAGATGTCACTACTATGATTTCTACACTGTAAACACTGGATGTTCATTTGAAATTAAATAAGAACTGAGACAAATAGATGCACATACACATATATATATACTGACATACATGGTAGAAGTTTCCCCATTCTTTATTTCAAGTACTATTCTTTCTGTAACAGTACGCTTTTTAAATATTTTTCTCTATCAGTTATCTGCCTACTTTTAACATTTAATTAACACAATTCCAAATTGTCAAGATAATGTGGTTTTAACCTTCCTTATTTTCTCTTGATTTGCCTAAGAACATGATAATTAGTGTTTGTTATATGCAGCATGACATTTCTTCTTTCTCCAGCAAACTGATAATCTTTTGCTTTTTTTGATAGTGCTGCTCTTACTGAATTTATTCCTTTTTAACATGATTATTTCCTTTTATTCTTCTGTTACAAGCTTTTAAACCATTTTTCAAAGTATTTTTTTCATTTGGTTCATCAGGATTCAGGAACACATATACCTTGTTTAAAGTTTTCCAGTTCTCTGAAAATGTGTTTTACTCTGCTTGCATTTCTCTTTAATTTTTATCTGTAATTACTGTATCAAATATATTAAAAGGCAACTAAAAAGTTATGCCCAAATTAATTGTAACATCTTTATTAATATATATACAAAATTTTGGAAGACAGTCTAAAAGATACTGCTCTTGTCACATGATCCTGCAAAATGCTGTATTTCAGCTCATTTAAATGTATACTTTATATGCTGTTTTTTTATCATCAATATTTTACATTAACTTTAGCTGCTATGTCATGTAATACTGAATCACAAATACTTAGGAAGTGGAACTAAATTAGTCATGACTTTTTGCATGCCTTTTGTGATGGGAGTTCTTGTGCTTGAGGCTATTCGTACACTCTAGAAGCATTTCCATTTTTCATAGCTGAATAGCTCCATAAGTAAAATTTAATTCTAGATCTTCGATTCCCACTCACTGATTTCACTTTTTTAACTGTAGTTGTTCCACTTTGCCAGGAATTGTTGAAGATCTATTGAAATACAATGCCAGAGCTTCCACAACACCTATCAACCAGTTGTAAAGAAACAATTGTAGTCTGTTCTAGCTAATACTTCAGTTTATGTGAGGGAAGGATAGAGGAGTGCAATGTGGAGTAAAAGAGAGAGACTGGAAACAGCTCTTTCTTTTCCCAAGGGCAATAAAATTCCTGTTCAACTTTTGAAAGGTTCAGGGTCTAATTCCTGGGGTAGGTTCAAGACCTGATGTGAAGGGAGGTGTGCCTTGAAGCCCAAAGGAATTTTAAGAATATCTTAAAGGGTGGAGATTTAAGGTACAACAATTTCTCATTTAACTTCTCTGGTAGTGTAGACACCTACTTACACTGTAGACTGATACAGATATTCTTTATTTTCCTCAAGCTCCAGACCATTACTTATCACTGCACTGTAAAGTTCCCTACAGGTCAATATGCTCACAAATGAGATGTTGTAGCACAAAGTTCAAGCACTTAAGTGTCCTCTGTGGATCTAATCTAAAGTCGCTTTTGAAAACAGGATTTAGGGCTTCTGACACTTTTACCCTATGTGTCCTGGGGTCACGTGTTGAGATATAAGGAAATTAATTGCCAGGTCTCTTGAGCCCCAGTTCCTCCATGTGATCACAGGATGCTTCTCCTCAGCACACTAATTTGGTCAGGGCATTGACACCACTATAAAGTAACAAAAAGGACTCTCAAGTTTATGCCCATTTCCCACACATGAATTTGCCTTGGATGCCTACTACCTATGTAGTTTATGTACATGCTTATTTTTATCTTTTCCAGAAATTCCTAATAAAATAAACCATGCTGAAGCCAAACATCTTGCAGACGCCTCAGGGTCAGACAAAACAGAAAGAACAACAAAGAGATCCAGAGTATCAACCATAAGGCGGATATTCGACATGGCAAAGCACCGAACAAAGAGGTCATCCTTTTTCTCAACTGGTGTGAAAGTTTGCCCACAAGAATCTGTGAAGCAGATTTTAGCCAGTCACCAAGCTTACTATAGATTAAGAGGTAAGATGATTATTGTAGCATGTACTTCCTCCTGCAAAGTCTTTCTTTTAATTGAGGAAACACAGTAATTTTCCAGAATCTTGTTCTTCACCTTTAAGCAGCGTATGTGCTATTTTCTTTATGGTTTATTTTTATCATAGATAAGCATAATATAGATAAAGTTACATGTGCATCAGCAGGGTTCAAGACAGAAGAAAATAAAAAAATGCACTCAAAGGACTAATGAACTTGGAGTAATTGCATAATGTTCTAGCATGGCTGAACATGAAGACCAAACTGTGCTTGCATTACTGTGTAAAGATGTACCACCTTTCTCATAAGTGCAGCAAGTACCATCGTTGCAAGTCTGAATTAATCCCACCAGTTTAAGACAAACAATGGAAGTATTAATTGGTCATTGCACAAATATGTTGGTGTATCTGTAGTTACGGTAAGCCTGTAGCAGTGTTAGTATACAACAAACACTTAGATAATTGTCAGCAGGTCATGAAAAGAACTTAGTCTTATTTTCAAAAGGTCTCAAACATTTCTTCTGCCTTTTCTCAACTAATTTGCTTTCTCCCCAGCCCTTTTTTACTTCCCTTGCCCATAGAGAGCCTGTAGAGTTACCACTCCAATTCTAGGTCCCTAGAGAGCACAGTGCAAATAGGCTCCTGGTTTTCATATTTTCTCTCTTCCTCCCTCTATCCCTTCCAGTCTTTCACTCAGTGACTATTTCAATTTGTATTAGAAAAATGCATATTTTTGCACTGCAGCTAGACAGTCCAAAGTTAATTCTAAAACCTAGTCAGCATTTCTAGAATGCAAGTATCCAATGCAACATCTGCTCTCTAAATCACCTCTGCTTATCTGTTTTTCCTCTATATTGGTCTCCAACCATTCACATACATCTATGTAACTTGGCTTCTCCTCAGCTCTCTTTTAGATAGCTCTCTCTGAAATGAAACCTGGATGTAGAGCTGCAAAACTTTTACTCCAGCACCCACTTGCTACAGGCAGCGTACGAAAATTACACCAATGTCTGTAGCTATTCCTATAGATACAAAAGTATTTGGACTCCATTGTAGCATCCTATGGGCACTAGACAGAAATCTGAAATGTGTTAAAGAGGTTGATCCAAGAAGCATTTCTTAAATTCAAATTAATCCTGAAAGTCCCTGAAACTCACTGGTTACATCCCAGATGGGGCTGAAAACAAGCTGTCCTGAAAGAGGCTGGTATCATTAGCTTGAACTCAAAGAACCGTATGTATGACCCTTTCTTTTAAAAAACTGAATATGACAATACTACCAACTTTTTGGAGAGCAGCACATCACCTGGACTCTATAAGTCTTGTAGTGCAGTCAGGTTTAAACTTACATCTCCTTTTCCTCAGCAGTGTTCTACACTCACAAAATTCTCTGAACAGGTGTCATCCAGTTCTTCAACTGAAACCTGAGTACTTCCCCAAGAAGGAAGCAATCAAACAGATGACTGCAGTTGAATAATTTGTACACTCATTCAGAAAAAGGTGTTTCTGCTCTCTTGAATAGTTGCACATATTGCATTACAGTATCCTTCATTAAAACCTCAAAAAATTTTTCCTGCAAGGAAAGATCACAATCCTTGAATCTGTAACCACAGTACAAGCCTTCATGGAAAAGTAATCTGGTATCCATGTGGGAGCTTTACAGCCTGTGCCTATCTGTGGCACAATCTTACCTTCATTTTGTTTTGTACATATACTTACAGGTCTGTTCTTTTCTGTGTCTAAAGTCGAGGAGATCACTTCTACCCCTCCAACTCCCATGACACATTTAGAACTGTAATAGCGCTGTGGATCATATCAGTCCTCTAGAGAATTTTTCTGCTTTCTAAGAAAAATTACAATTTTTTTTTTTAACACACACAAATATACTTCCAGGAATGAGCACATGACACAAAAGAGCTCAAATATAGGAGCTCAGACAATTTCTATTGGATAACCAGAGGCTACCGTGACCCTACACCAACTCTGAAATAATACACTATAGCATAAGTCACAATGAGGACAGTCCCTCATGTGGGGCAAACTGGGTGAAAGCATGGAATCATCTACACCACCTCCTCAACTGGTCATGTGTCACATTTATCTGGTAACTGGATTACTCATCATCAGATAGTATATCTTCATTCAGCAGTTGCTGCTCAGAAAAACAGATACCAGACAGTTGCAAGAAAAAGAGGATAGAAAGTAGCTTTAACTGCTAGCTTATAATGAATAAATTTCCTCAAAAGACAGCCTGTTCCTTTTTAATAGTCTGACCACATCTGCTGCACATGCAGCTGCTCCACAGGGAGGGCAGGCTGCTCCTGAGGTATTATTGAGGGGCTCTAACCCAGCTGGGTGAGTACATCCCTACAGCAAGTTAAGAGTATACCTAGAGAAATGACTGCGCTAATTTCAGAGACATCGATAATGCAGATAATGAACTCACTCTAAGTCAAAGTAGGTATCAAGTACTGAAAATAAATGACCCATCTCACAGTAACGAGCTTTGCAAAGTGCTACAGGCAACAGCTTTTAAATTGCAAGTTTCTGTTAAAATGGTTTTTCTAATAAGTTTGAAAATTCCTCTCTCTAAAAGCATTTAATTTTAACCAACATTTCAAAGTGCGTTGCTTCATTTTGAGTGATGAATGCGTAAAGGTGCAAATACCAAATAACTTTTAAAAGGCTTTCAAGTTTACTTTTTGGTAGAAAGCATCCATCCCCAGCCCCTTTCTTCTTACTCAGTCTGCCAGGAAGCTGTGTGGGAAGCCTTTCGTATTTTTCTGGATCGGATTCCTGATGCTTCTGAATATCAGAACTGGGTTACTGCCTGCCAGAGGGAAACCTTTTGCATATTCGACATTGGCAAAAACTTCAGCAATTCCCAAGAGCATCTGGAAATAATCCAACGGGTAAGGACTACTGACACTTGTTTATAAACTGGGAGAGACTTCCAAGTCCCTCCCTATCTGCTTATTTAAGGGCAAAGTATTGCTCAGGAGGAGGAGGGGGCATATCTTAGAAGGAAAATATACAAGGATAGTAAAAAAAAGAGCTAACAGGTTTCTGCTCTATCTGGTTGGATACACCCACTAGTAAAATGCTGTTTTTCTTAATCTTTTTGCAGCGAGTAAAACATAGAACCTTCCAGGAAAGGTAAGTAGCACAAGTAGAACCTTGTCACTTGATGTTACTGCCTTTTTTGAAAAAGATATGTGTAGATGTGTGTGGATGTGAACAGATATACAGATAGCACTGTGGTGTATTTGGTGTGTGCTGTGAGAGAGGTGTATACTGTATGTATAATAGTACACAGCAATTGAATCACAAATAATGGAGGTGGCCGAATGTCTGAGTTACCTGTTCACTTCGAGACACCACATAATGTTTTCTCAGACTAATGTAAGCATGGCTTTGCATTAGACCAGTGTTGATTGGGAGTATGACAAAAGTTGCTATATAGTTTCTCATATGGGAAAGTCCAAGGGCTTAACAAAGGTTTATCTGAGAGGCTTCATTAAGCAATAATATAAAAACTCTATGCCTTCACTTTAGCCTTCTTCTGTATTTTTACACATCATGACAGTGTCAACTAATGTGATACTTTTTTCTACAAACTCTTTGAAAAAAATATGCTTCTGGCAACACTCAGAAGTCTGAGAATGGCAGCATTAAAGTTACAATACTGAACTCTGTCTGTCTGTATATAAATACTGTAGTACACCCAGACAAATCATTGTCCATAACTCCTCTGAATAATGTATTATTTTTTCCTTCAAGTTTTTTTGATTTTCAGGACATTTTCGCATTCATAAGTTACGCTGTCTCATGATCACAGAGATCTTACGTATCTTTGTTCATTCCAGCATGAGAGACTTGAGGGCTTTTTCTCAGAAATGTACTTTTAATAATGTAGGCCCTAATTAAACTCCCCTGGAAGGCCAAAGGGAGGTCTTTTCATTCAGTCTGGTGCAAACAGCAGCAGCAAGGCATTAAGTGACTGATCTCAGAGTTCTTAAATTCTTTGTCAACAGTATGGCTTTCCCTAGACATAATTCAGAAGATGAAGTAAATGCTATGAAATTACTCGTATTTTAGCCAGCCATGATTATGCATGGTTGGACTTCATCTTTACTATTATGTGGCTTGGGAAAACATTTTGTATCTTCTGTAGATGCCACGTAGAGAGATCAATCTCCAGTTAAAACACAACACATAATTAGTTAGCATTGTGAAAACATTATAAATAGTACTTTTGTTCTCCCTGCGTAAGATATCCAGAGGATGTGGTAAATCAGTTGTTGCTCATGTTCTTTATTTATATTATTAAACATCTCGGTTGGTCCCGTATAGAAATGTATCTCATACATCCTTTCTGTCTACACTACAGGCTTTATGCTATCTCAGTTAACACCACATCACACATTTACAACACCCTTATTCTTTCACTCATACCAGTTTTCACAAATACTGCATCTGTGTGCACTGTAGAAATTTTGAGGAATTCTATTCTCATTTATTTCAAAGATTGCATTTTTTATTTTATGTTGTGAGTTTTTTCCACACCCTACTTAGAACTCAAAACAATTTAAATTCTTTGCACCCCAATTTCAGGAAAGAAAAATCTCAAAATGTCCCTAAGAAGATTCTTATCTAAAAATCTAAATTTTCCCAAAAGCTGAATGAATAAAAATTTGGTTTCAGAGCAGAATTTATTCCATAACCTTAACAGCAGGAATATCTAATACATCTATAATAAAATGTACTTAGATATACATACTAGTTCTGCTTTTCAGGCAAGCCAACAGTTGCAATTGCAAAAGGTATTCATTACCTCATGACTGTAAAACTTAAAACCAGAAAATAATATCAACAATACAAACCCAAACCCTGCGATACAAGGCAGACAACCTTACATCATACCCACCATATTCTTTCTTGGGTTTTCAGCTGTCTTCCATGCGGACCATGGTAGGCATTAACCCATGAACATTACATCTCATAGCAATCTGGATCCAGGAATATGACTTGAAATTATCATTATTTGGAACCATTCTTATGATATTATAATGCAGGCCAACAACTGAAAAATAAATACATCCATCCTCTCCTCACACCATACCATACAAACCTCTCTTGGTACTGTGAAATGTCCATTGGTCCTAAAATTAGGAGAGGCCCAGAGCTCTCACTGAACTGTATTGACAGGATGAGATATAGTAAAGGAGACAAAAGTTGGTTTAGATGGTGTACAAGAAGTTTTGCTTCCATTTTAGACAGTGGTCTACCATTCCTTAACCTCAAAGGGAAACAAAAACAAACCCAGTGCACTGATTTAATCTCTGTAATCCCATCCCTCCAGTTGCATGGATAAAATCAGTCATGAAATCTCATGAGCAGATTCCTAACAGGACTGATAGTCCTTGGTGGAGGAATATATCAAATCATATTTTTGTAAGAGCAAATATTCAACTGAAGAAGAGGAAACTAAATATGATCTACTGTTCCACTGCCTGTTTAACCAGGTTACAAAATATTCCATTAGAAATAACTTCACTCATTTAAACCACACTTCTATATTTCTAAATTTTTTTACACTTTTTTTCATTGCCAGTACAGTTTGTAGATAATTAAATCACTCATTTCTATTTGATTGATAGGAAAGATGAAATATCCGCAGAGAAAATAGGAGGCAAAAAGGTGGAAGAAATTCCTTCCATTTCTACAGGTAAAATCAAGTCTGCTTTTTGTGTGTCTGTCCATTAAATAGAATTGCTAAGGTCAGTCATTCTTAGGTCTTAAAAGGCTATAATTTAATGAGTGCAGTAGAAGTGTGACAAGTTCAGTGAAGTACAATGAAAATGTTTTAAACAAAATAATATTTATGAAGCAACTTTTATCTCTTTACAGCACGTCTGCTACTCAAATGTAGCACTCCAAGTTGACTTTTGCCTTCAGTCACACACATGCAATGCTACTGATGTTTGACCTGGAAGAAAGTCTGTCTATTGTATAACACATAGCATGGCCATAAGTCACGGGCATCTTCCAGTGGCACAGGCTTGTGCTCAAACACACCCTCCTTAAGGAAAGCTGCTCCAGTGAGCTGACACCTGACCAACACAGAAAGGGGAGGATTTTTGATGTGCAAACTTGTTCTCGCCTGACTTTTCTTTTACTCCCCTGCAGGCTCCCCTGGCACACCCCTCTCTCCATATGCACCTAATGGCACGCTGCTCAATGAAATCGTTAACGACACGAAGACTCCTGTGAAGGTCAGGGCAGCCTGTTTTCCTATCCCATTTTTTCACTCACCTTTTTTTTTTTTTTGAGCTCAGCTAGAAGAAAAGAGGAAGAAGCCTTATAAACACTTAGTGCTTTAAACCATGAGTTCTCCCGTCTGTTTCAGCCAGTGGGACTGAAGGGGTTTATTAGCATCTGTTCTGTACCAGAGTAGGGTATGATGTTTCTCAAGTATGAGGTAGAAAGTATAAAAGTATGGAAACCAGCTTTTAGGAAGAGTCTTCATTCTTTGAAGGAGGGGCCTGTTGCTCATCTTGCACCATTTTGCAACCTTATTCTTCATTAAATAACACCAAAAAATATACCTTCTAGGGCTGCCACAACACAGGAGATAAGACTGGCCCTTCCTTGCCTTTTTCTGGCCAGACAATCAGCTATCAAAGAAGCATCTCCACTGCTATCTCTTCAGAGCAGCCATGCAGCACAGCTCTAGGAACTACCCCATCCTCCACAGGTTTACAGCAGCTGCCACCAGTCACCTCTGAGAGAGGGGTGGAGTGCTGGGAGGGGTTCTTGTTTTCCCTATCCTGGCTGCTAGAGAGGTAGCCCTGGTCTCAGCACAGCTGTGTGGCCTCAGGGAACCTTTTGGAACCTCCCTCTGGAGGCATTACCTGTGAGGACCCTGTTTCTGAGGAGACTTAGCTCTTACGTTTCCCCTCTGCTTTGCTCTGAGAGTTTTTCCAATTTGTAAGTTTGCCTGTAGAACAGCTACTTGAGAAACCTCAATTTTTTTTTGGGGGGGGGGGGCGGAGGCGTTGGTGCATACTGGCTGTAGGAAGAGGGTCATTTGGGGGCAGGAATGCTGGGTGAGGCCTTACCATCACACCCCTGGCAAATCACCACTGTTCCCCATCCCACCTATACAAGCTCCTCAGCTCCAGCACAGGAATTGATTGCACTGGCATGATCCCAGATAAATGCTGTTTTTACTGCCCAAAATTATAACATCCTCATAATGTAAGAAAGCAAAATAATCTTTAAATAGTCTCAAATTTCTATTACCTACCTATGTCTCAGCTCTTATAGTGAAAGAGCAAATAGAATATGAGGGAAAAGTAGTTTTAAAATCCCTTATTTGTGATGTTTGAGACGTACCAGATGATTGTCATTAACCAGTTTCTCCTTATTACAGATCTCCTTATTCTTTCTTGGCCCAATCCTCTATCACCAGCTCCCTAAAGGTTGGCTCCTCAAAAGTCATAGGGCAGCTATGTAGAAAGTGCATATTCCTGAATCTTCCATTTATATGATAAAACATTACAGAATGCTCTTTCTCTAACTGATGAGCCATATTTCTATACACAACACAAAACATACATTCCTCTAAAACTGAGGTATCCTGAGGAATGATATAGCAGAGCTGAGTTTTGCAGAATCAGTGGGTGCAGAAAGTGCTCTCTCCTGTTTCACTCATTCTGTGGTTCTATTATTAACATCTTACTTTCTCTCTTATCCCCTGCCACTACAATCACACTTATTTCTTGTTCTGCTTATTTTTGGAAGGTATTAAAGCCTAGGAGTTATGTATGGGACAGATGTCTCTAGCAGCCTTATGCCAATTTACCTGGCAGCAGAAGTGGAAACTTCACGTCGCTGTGAGATTCAGGCTGATGAGCTTGCTGCTCTTTTAGGCCAGTTTCTTCTTGATCTTGTTGTATTTGTTTGTAATTTCTCCAAGGTGCAAGAAGTCTGGCTGAGAGTAGAATTATCCTTGAGCACATAAAAAAGATAAAAACGTGTTTAAAGAATACAGAATATCTATGTATTGCAACATATATGCAGTACATGCAGTAAAGAAGAATTTGTTTTTTGTTCTGAGATCTTTGTATTTTTAACAGGCTTTCTTTAGAACCCTGAAAGATTTTATTCAGAAAAAAAAATGTAATAAAATACACTGGCAGTGAAATGCAACAATGATATATGTTAACATTAGTAACAAGATTTGTGAAGAAAGACTTAGAGCTTCGTAGAAGGCAGGAGTTTCCTGGGTGACCTCTCTGCATCACCTCTTCAGATACTTGCATTCCAAGACTTGAAATTTGAAGCTCAGCTCTGTTTGTGAATAAGGAACGAGAGATACCTTCTGATCTTAAAATTAGCAAATGTAACTTTACTTTAATAACTTTATATTTAGGATGAACTAGGAAATCTTTCTTAATGCACCTATAGCAGCTTTGCCCCTAGGGGCAGTACATCATAGCCTACAAATGAATTGACATTTGGAATTTAATGTAATTAAAGAACAAAAATTAGTAAATGTAAGGAAAAACTACAAATACTGTTGGGAAACAGCAAACAAAATGAGTACTTTTAACAGCAGTAAAGTCAACTGCACAAGAAAGGTGTATCACAGGTAGGGCTAATTCTAATTTCTTAACAGAAAACCCAAATGCAAACTTCTGAAACAGTAACAGAGAGTCTGGAACTCTGACTGACCATGGGTTTTCTGAGCATGGGATCTCAACTAGCTTGTAGAATTTTCTTGTCATTCTCCTTGATGTCACACATTGTCCTCCAAAGTTGCAAGTAAAGCTATATGACTTTACAATGATGGAAGTAAGACTTGGAAACAGTCTCTGTGCAAGAAACGGCTTGATTCTCTTCACTTTCATTTATGCATATCAAAGACAATGCTGAAGTTACAATAGTAGAAACTTGTTTGCAAAGAGAGAAGAATTAAGCCAACAGATATGTATAGGAACTGTCATCTTTTGTAGAATATGGTTCAGAAAGTTATTTTGGGGATGGGCTTAAAAGGGAACCTAATCTACCTATTAAATACCAGCACGTTGGGTAAAAAATCACTTAGTTTTATTGCTTCACTTTTTTTCATTTCTTCTTATTTTCCAGGAGCTGGGAACAAATGCAGTCCCTGAACTCCCGGTGGAGCAAATGGTAGAATTCAGTGTAACTCTCACTGATCAGGAGTACACAGCTGAACTTAGTGATCCCAACTCCCCAGAGTACCAACAACTAGCTGCCAAATTTCAGCTACAGGTAAGGCTGAGTGAATGCAAAAATGTTGACTTTATATCTTGGCTGAGGTTCATACTATGAAACTACCCTCACCATGAAATAGAATTAGAATCTACTGTCTTCACTTTGAACAGATAATTCCTGTCATCTCAAGACCTTAAGTTTTTCATCTGATTCAAGCTATCTCTTCAGCCACCAAGCCAACAAGCCAAAAGCTTTGACAGAAGTAGAGCCTCAGATAACTGATGTACTTTGTCATAATTTAATTTCTACAATAAACCTAATGAGAAATGTAATATAAATATTTAAAGTAATTAGTTGCTGTTGTCTGAACTATTTTTCAAAAGACTTGCACTCATTTTGTTGTACGTTGCCATAGTTTCTGTAAGAATTGGAACATCTGTAGTGTTTTCATATAATTAATAATATTGACTAAATGTTCAGCTATCAGTTTAACAGCAGGTAGCAGATAGTGACTTGAGGTTCCTAAAAGATTTTCTTAGTAAAATTAACTTCTCATCAGTTTTATGAACATTCCTTAGTGCAAGTTATTTTGCTTTCCTTGTTCAGTTCCAGATATGCGTAGAAAAATGGCAAAGGATGTGCTGGCAGAGCTGATAAAAAATGTTTTTTCTCAAGATTTCCAGTATTACCCTCAAACAGAAGTGCCTGCAGACTTTGTTTACTAACTATATAATGCATCTTCTATGCAAAACCATTTAATCATACACTTGTTAACACTAGAGTTAAAAGTATATTGTTATTCTGTTTGTACAAGATGGTTAAAACTGTTTAATTTATAAATGATTTTTCAAATAATCTAAGCCCATCTGCATTTGGTTAATATTTCTAAGTAATTAACAATTTACAGGTGATTTGAATCACAAAACTATACATGAACCAAAACTGCCGAAAAACCATTTGATTCATGTTATTTGACTTGCTCTCTTATGATCTAGATTATCGCTGATTTACATAATTACTGAAAAAGAACTATATTTTGTGCTTCATTTTGCCTGTTAACAGGTAATACAGACAGTATATACAAACCAAACACTGTAAGCTGAGCAATTATGATACCACAAAGAGGGCAGCCGAGACTGTTTCGTAAAGCTCTTTCTCAAAAATAAAAAATATTGTCTAGGTAGTCAACCTGTGCTTGCCTCTTAGTTACCGATCTTACACTATATTAATTTTTTATGGTTTTATATAGATGAAAAAAATATTTGAGAAACTTCCAGGATTCAAAGAAATCCGCGTATTAGGATTTAAGTAAGTAAGAAAATGGGGCTCTCTTTTCTGTTGGCTGCTAGGGTTCTTCTGTTCCTTCTTGTCCTTCAAGATGAAGAGGCCTGTGGACCAGTGTGGGGGTGAAGGGGGGGGGCATGTTGCTGTAAATAGAAAGCAGTTTTATGGGAATACTATAGAGACAATAGGCAAGAACTGCAAACACATTCCAAGTGAGACTATGAGGTTTTGAATTACTAAGTAGAAGTAGTTTTGATTCCCTGAGAGGTGAAGGATACAATAAATTCTTTGAATTGTTTGCTATCAACCCTATATTAAGGACTTTTTAAAATTACAAGGTACAGGAAGTTAGAAGTACGATTATTTAGGTGACTACTTTTTTGTGTGTGGATCCTGTGCCGTTCATATATTACAGTGAAGAGAGGGTTGCAGGAGGCTACATGTCTGCACATATAAAACTTTTCCAGTACTTGTTTTCCAGGTGTTTCAAACAATTTAAAATTTTTAATTTTTTTTAGTAAATTTGAGTTCTGTCTTTCAATTTCTTTTAGTTTTAGCTTCCTTGTATGTTTATTACTATTACAAGCTCTTATGTACTTTTTCAATAGAGAATCTACAGGGGAGGGGGAGATAAAAAAATGGGTTTACACAAAAAATTGTGTAAAAGATTAAAAGAACAATAACTAATAATAAGAAACTATACAAAATTGAAAAGGAATAAAGAGCAGGGAGAAAAGACATAAATTTATGTGGGCTTACAGCACAGGATCAGAAACATTCAGTCCTTCTAGTAATATTTAATACATGTTAAAGAATGCTCATATTGCAATGTAATTTTAGACAGGAGCATCCTTCCTCCTAGCATTTCTCTCTGCAAAACTGCTGGGAGAAAGGAGAGAGAAGAGCAAAATAGACTGAAAATTACTTGCTTATATTTTTATATTGAAATCAATAAAACAAAAAGCTGCCACAGAAAAAGCAGAGAAGTCTATAGTAGCATCTCATAGTTACAACTTGCAATAACTAACCCCTTTCAGTTATGACTCCAGGTCAGGGATCCATTTCAGTTTAGTATCTTGGACTTAGGAGCTGATATGAAAGTATATTCATCAATATGGAAGACCAGGATTGATTCCCACCATCTAGTAATTTAGTTAACTCCTGAGAGATACAGATCAGCAGAAACAGGTGTTGCTGTCCATTCTCCCTAAGCCATATGAGTGTATATATTAGCAGCATTTCCCCTATGACAACATTATAAATATTCTAGAGAATTCATCAGGGAAAATAACAAGGCATTATATACAGAAGGTCAACATAGGCATGTCTTCCAGAGATAATTAATACTTCAAGTTACCCCTGTACCTAGAGTCTCAGTAGGCACCACATATGGTAACAGTAATCATTGCTACTACTGCCACAGGTGTTCATTGCCACCATAAAGACAGAGATTAACACAGACAGTGCTCAAATTGCACCATTTGGGGTGGGAAATAGGAAAGCTTATATTTCAAACTATCATGGTAAAGTAAAATTCCTCTCTCCCCACACAAAACATGGTGATTACTATTGTTTGGAAGGGAAAAAGTGAACTGATGAAGAGTAGACTGTCATTTTCACACAGAGATAAAAATTTTAGATGGCACATACAAGATAAGATAAATTGTCAAAAGATGGTTGTGATGTGTATGACTGAACGATTTACCAGTATACATGAATCTTTGTTTTTCTTTCTTTTGCAATCCTTTCCACACCCTTTCTTCTGTGATGAAATGAAGACAGAAGAAGGAGAAAGATGGGTAATCTTTCTGTAATGCTTAATTAAGATTAATAATTTTATTGACTAATTATTAATCATGATTATTAATCCTTTTATTATGTACATAGATACATCAGTAAATGTCCTTTATCTTGACGTGGCAAAGTGAATTGATTATGTTCTGCCTAAGTACAAAATCTGTGAAGTGAAGCAGCAGGGACGGCTTTTACTTTTATCTGAAAGGTTCATGTAATCAAATTTGGTCAAGATCTCTCTGAAGGAAAGAAAATGTTTTATCTAAAAAAATTCACATTCAGATGACTGAAGATTTTATCAATCATATACTGAAAGTGAAAAATAAATAGGGAAACTTTATATTCCAATTTTATTTTTGATCTGCTGTTTCCTAGCTGTATTCCCACATACACATTATTTTCAATAAGTACATAGAATTTGATTTGTTATCTCCATTGTCAAGCCAGATAGAAAAGCAAAGAGAGCAGTTACTAGCTTGATAAAATGCAGGGAATTTTTGACTAGTAATACAAACAGATGCAGAGTCTATTGTTGTTGCTGCTTAAAAGTGCTCCTGGGGACTAATTTGTCTAGCAGTTCCCAAAATTTCTCTTTTACTCATACTTTAAAAGGAAGAATTGTCTACTGTTTTTCCTGAATTCTTGCAATGTCATATAAATTTAAATATATAGTACATACTAGATAAAGTGAAATTCCTTTCTCTACAGTTATTTGATGTTGTAAAAAGCAACATAGTATAGAAATGTTTACAATGTACTCATTATTTTTCTTTTTAATTAGGTGAATTTAACATTTATGAAAAGTGATGTATTAATAATGGTGAACATTTGAGACTTCCACTGAACATCTGGGGAGAAGCTATAAACACCCATTTGGAGTTGGAAAAGCCAGCACCCCTTGTGAAAAGTGATTTGCTTGCCACATTAACTAATTTTTTTGCTGTTCTTTGAAAAAGAGCAAAAAATTACCTCAGTTATGATAAGATTTTTGCTTATCTGCAGTTTTATGGACTGCCTAATCCCTTTTCGGAGGATCCTGCATAATGTGTGATTATGGCTTCTAGTAACCCCGGCATGCATTTATGGCTGTTTGAATCAGTAGTCAATGACTGATCAGTAGTCAAGGTTTCTGAGTAGTGAGATTAAACTGTATTATATTAGAATATTTTTACAATTTTCTTCATAATTTGAATTTCTATTTAAAATCATGAATAGAAGAAAAAAGATATAGCAAAAGTAATTTGAAGGTGACAGTCTGGTTAGAAAGAAGTAAATCTGCATTGCTTTTTCAGAAGATAATATGTTATGGTTGCATATTTGTCTGTCGCTAAAATTGGTTCTCAGTCAGTAACTGATTTTGCTGCACTGGGCATTTTTACCTTTTCCCCTTGCAGATCAAGCAGCACTATAGCACGGTATGTGGTGAACTTTGAGAGAGATGGCTCAGAAATCAGAAGCACAGCAGATGACATCTCAACTATTGGATCTAATAAGGTTGAAAGTGAAAAAATTCCAATTTCTCCAATGGAAGAGAGGGAGATATCAGGAACTAAACTCACAGTAACAGACCTTCAGCAACTGGTTGCCATTGCACTCCATGAAGACCAGTCCCTGCCAATGGACCTCGGGACACTTCAGTTTACTGATGGTTAGTAGGCAGGCAGGTGCCAGGCACAAGGCTGAACCTTGCCTTTCCAAACTGATGCAATTTCAGTAAGATGTATTTCGCTGCTCTACAAGACTGTTTTCATTTGATATAGCCCGTACTCTTTAGTGTAGCATAGCATCCAAAGGATGCAGAGATGTAAGTTAAATTTTATAGCAAAGTGTGCCTCTATAATTATACAGCCAAACATCCAATCATATTAGAGCATCTATTTTTTTCTTTCTTTGTTTAGAAAATCTGGATATTTTGCACACTTAGATAATTAAGAGGAGAAAAATAAAAGAAATACTATGAATATTCACTGTATCATTTTAACTTCCCAGTATGGACAGTCTCCTCTTTTTAGCAAGACAAAAAGTGAGGGCTTCCTCCAACCTAAAAATTAGGCTTTCTGAAAGCTCTGTCTTGATTGTAAGCAAGCCATCTAAGCTCTCCGTGAAGTCAGAGAGACAGACACTTTAAAAAGCATTTGATCTCAAGATAAAATCAGTAAAGGTGTGTTTCACTCTGAAACACAGAGGGAGTATAGATGACAAGCTGGGTGTGAGGACCTCCAGCAGAAGGTTGAAGGTCTGCACTCTGTTCAGTAATCCAGATAATAAATATCCCCTTCTGGTCCATCAATTATTTTTGCAAAACTAGCATATCCCTAGTTTTGGGGAGGTGGGTTAAAAGGTGGGAAATTATTTAAAATATTTTTTCATATTTATATTTACCAAAACAATCTTAAAACACATATCAAATTTAACTATAGTGTTTAATTTGCAAACAGCAGCATTTTCTTGCCAAAAAAAATTATTCAACAAAAAATAGAGATAATACACTTCCATAATACATATTTTAATCAACTTTTTCCCAGTCGTTAGTTTTAATAATCAGTTTTAGAAAAACAGCTCTCATGCAATTACTTTTAAAGAGCTCCTCTGGGGGGGTGAAGGGACCAATGGGGCACTAAAGCCAAAACACTAACGTTAACAATGGTGTGGGCTCTGGGTAAAACTGAAGTAAATTTAGGCTTAATGAACAATGTAATATAATGAGTCATCATAATCTGTGCAGATTTAACTGAGGGGTTCATACTTCAGCTGATTTTAAGCATTTCTCCATTGTTCAACTCTCTGCAGACCTATCCCATTTATGCTAAATAAAGCATACAAAGAACACTGCATATAAAATTCTGATTTTTCTCATAATTGTCAGGTTGAATGGACATTGATGGCTCACTCTTCTTAACTTGGATTTTAAAAAGTAATATTTTGATGGAGAACAGTTTAGTAGTTTTTTACTGACCTTATGTGTTTTGATCAGTTTTCAGCATGCCAGTGTTGAAATGTTGTTTTCTCTCTCTCTCTCTAATGTTTTTGATTTTTTGTTTTTGTTTTTGGGGGTTTTTTGTTTGTTTGTGGGGTTTTTTGTTTGTTTGGTTTTGGTTTTTTTTTTGCAGAATCTATTATAGCACCTAGTGATTTTGATAATGATATCCAAGGCATGGTCACTATTCCTCTGGCAGGCCCTGATTTGGTAAGTTAATACTGGTTGTCGTATTTATTTATTTTTCCATGGAAAACAAAATTAAACTGTGTTAAGATGGACATAAATATCAACAAACCCCCGTTTCTTATGCTAACGTATCTGTTTTTTGTACTTACTGTAAGGATGAATGTTGTATTGTTATACTGCAACAAAGATAGTGTTTAGAGCATTTACAGATGAATATTGCTGCCTGATTACCTTTTCCAGTTTTAATTACAAAGTAAGCAATGTCTTACTAGTTCAGTAGTACAGAGCAACTCACAGGGATAATGAAGACCATTTTTAAAATTACAGGCAATGTGATTAGGGTCACACACACATGCCAAACATTTTATAAATCCCATGACTTCATAGCAGTGTCTGAAGTAGTGTCAGCACTACAAGAAAGCTGAAGAGGGACTTTTCATCAGGAACTGTAGTGATAGGACAAGGACTAATGGGTTCAAACTGAAAGATGGGAAATTCAGGTTAGATATATGGAAGAAATTCTTTACTTTGAGGGTGGTGAGGCAGTGGAAGAGGTTGCCCAGAGAAGTTATGGGTGCCCCAACCCAGGCACTGTTCAAGGCCGGGCTGGATGTGGCATTGAACACGATCTAGTGGAGGGTGCCCCTGCCCAAGGTAGAGGGGTTGGAACTAGATGATCTTTTAGGTCCTTTCCAACCCAAACCATTGTATGACTCTGTGTTGACTTAGCTGTTTGCAAGTTCACGTGGCTAAAGATTATTGGCCTTTTTAGGAATAAAACTTAAACATTATAATGAAAGCTGCTTTTTAAAAACTTTTCAGGAGGAATCTATGAGTGTGGAACTCCCACTAGGTTACCCCAGCCCAGCAACAGTGGACCAAATAGGAGACACCTTGGTTGATGAATTTACAACTGGAAGCCCTGCTGTAAGTGAAGAAGAGATCAGCATCCCTGAAGAATTTAATAATTTTATTACGTCTGAACCTGAGTTCCCTACCAAACCCTCCAGAGAACCATTTCAGGACAGATCTCCACACAAAGTTACTGACCACCAAAGTTTCACAGTGCCTTTCAGTGCTCTGGGGAGCACTAGCAGTCCTCCAAAATCAGAGGTTTATCTGCCTCCTCCAGCAGATGATTCTGCTAGCAGTGACTTAATCACCGATGGTTATGAGTCTCCAGTGGAGCAGGCTACCACAATGGCAATTTATACCACAGGTAGCTTTACCCCACCTAGTCTGCAAGCCAGAGATGAGGATAGTGAACATGAGGAGAAGACAGAACTGACTGATATAACAGAACCACCTTTCAAGGAAGCTGACCAAGACATTCCACCTGAACAAGGTAAGACACAAAAGATTTTTATGAGAGAGTGTAGGAAAGATGTGTGTTATGACACATGCAGTCACGTATTGGTACAGCAAGCATTCCTTTCCATTGTGACAGGAAATTTTTCTGGACCATCAAAGATGAAAAATTTACATTTCTGATGCCCACTTCAGGAAAACCCTAATGTAGCTCACTTCAAGGTAGTCAAAACCAAAAAAACAGAACAAAACCAACCTAACCCAACAACAAATGTCTAAGGATAGGGCACAGTTACTACAGAGTATTAGGGTAAAATTTCAAAAAGACAGGGCAAAAAGATATGTCAGGGAAGAAAAAAAGGATATCCGAGGCTAACATAAAAAAATTGGTATTTAAAACATGGAAAATAAATTACTTTGGGCTCTACAGTCAGTTGTGGATGACAGCAGGAAGAATATAATGAAATAACTTATTCAGATTTATTATTCAGAAAAGTTTACATATCTACATGTCTGATCAATGTGAAAAACTTTTAAAAAATTCTGGTTTCTGTGTTTGTTTATTCAGTTTTATCCCCACAGTAGGGTTTTTTAGAGGCACCTAGCTACATGAGAAAAAAATTACATAATGAATAAAGAAGTGGAGATACATGTGGAGAAAAGTCTGTATAATGTAGCCTTTAAAAAGAAAAATACGTGATAGACATGTTTCCCACAGTTGACCCTGCAGATGAAAAAACTTCAGACAAAGCTATTAGGGTCACCCTTAGCGCACAGACAAATTATATTTTTCCCCGGAACAGCAGAATGACAGTAAGGCTACTGCTTCCATCACTTCCACTAGCGACTCAGAAAGCCATACTATGCACTGTGGAGACCTATGGTGTGCAGGTAACTAAATTGTGTGGGGCAGCAGCCTCCACTGGCAAAAAAGCAAGAGCCACGATTCCTGCAGTTGCCCTACATCTGTCCCAGCTCTTGTCGGCTCCGTCTCCTCTCCTGCTCCCTGAACTGGCCTTACCATCTGAGCGTTAGGTCAGTAAATTCAAATTTTACTTGCACTTCAAAGCCTTGCTAGCTGTCTAAGATGCAAGAGGTCACTATAGAAACATGGGAGGAATTAGGTCTTGGATGAATGTTCATATGTTCTTTGTCTCAGATTTTTGACTGACCCTCCCAAAAGAAAAGCAGAGGGCAGGTAAGCACTTCATGGGAGTCAGCAGGACTCTCTGATGTCCCTGCATAGTCTCTAAGCAATACTAAAAAAAACCTGCAGAGAAAAACGAACTAAAGACAGATTCAGGGCAAAATTCCCAAATATGCATTAGCTCACACAACACACTTGTGTTTCTGGATCCCCAAGAACATCATGCTCAACACTTGCAAGTTTGCTCCCTGCTGCAGGAGAGTTTGCTGTTCCCTTAGGAGGCTCTACTCTGTCCCTGTTCAACAAGCTCTGCGCTTGCCCAGTCCTTGGCCTTTCATGTCCCTCCCTGCACTCCAGATGTCTCTTGAAGTGAGCATAATGAACCCTCCTTCCACTTTGAAGATATTCTTCCTGATCCAGCATGCCCAGATACAGCATACCTGTACCCCTGCTGCCCAGCCACATCCTGTAAGGCAAACACTGTTTTCATAGCTGATTGGAAACACCCCACTTGCACGTTAATAACATCCTTTACAGTGGGCCTGCATGGCAGAAATGTGAGAGTGGGGAATGCCCATATACCATACTGTCTATAATATTGTTTATCTGGATCCAGCAAATAACAAGATTGGCATTTTAAAGAATAAAGGATATAAAAACTGCCACTTGGGAACATACAATAATGAGCTCTGGACTTGGAAGAGCATAACATATTCCGTGGTCATGTTGTTACATGGTAGTTTATGGTAGTTTTGCCTTTTTTACATGGAGTTGTGAAGTGAGAGGAAAGCAAATACTTTATGATTAGCAGAGTGAGTTAAAGATTAGAAAATCACTTCTTATAAGAATCAGTTGTCAAATGTTCCTGAAAATAAAGTTTATGATAAAAAACATTAAACGCAACTATTTTCAAATTCATGCTGAGAAGTCTTGCAGTGCTACTGATAAAAGCACAGCATACATAAATAGCACTCATTATAACCGTGGAAAAGCATTACATTTGCAGGGGAAAGAAAGTCATGCATTTTTCATTCTATTCACTCATTGCGTTAAGGACTTGATGTCATAAAAAACACATAAGGCCACATATCTGTTTCCCAATTTGCTAAATAGCTGAAAAACCTTGTTGCCTATCAGCTCCAGATGACTGAAGAGAAGCAGCAGAGGGTATATGACTCACCTGTGATGACCCTTTAAACACTAAGAAATTGTTGTATATATGGGTTGGAACATGTCAATCTGCAAGAGAACAAACTGTCTAGAGCTGTAAGAAAAAAGATCCTCCCACAATAAGGCATACTATCTTACGCAACTTATGTCTAAAACAAGCACTTGAGTATACGAATTCCACCATTATTTCTGCAGCTGAGTAGCAGAGGGAAAATAATTGTCCTTGTCTAAAAAGAATGGATGCTGTATTAGCAATGTCTCAAAACTGTAGTTATTATATATTTTTTAAAGCTTATAGTACACAAAACATGCTGCATGCTTAACAGTCAGGAGACCTGTTGAAATCTATTTATTGAGATTTAAAATGTATACACTTTAGAACTTTTTCTCTTTTTAAAGCTCTTCTCAATTCTAGCATCTCCTGTATTTTTTTGTTTCCCTATATATTGCATATTTCATAAGAAATGATAGAATGCAATCTGGAAATTCAGGTTTTATTAAAGTCAGCAATATTAGTGCTATTAACTTTCATATGGCAAGCAGAATTTGACAGGCACAGAATTTTTCACTCTTTGTTCCTGGCTGCATTTCGTAGCTGCATTTCTTAGTAATATTAAAAAAAAAATAATCTTTTAACTATTACTCCTGTGAAATAGCAAAACTACTCTGACAGTGCTTTATGAGGTTGAACAGAGGTTTAGGGTCTAAACAGTTGCCTGAAATTCTACTGCATTAATTTCCAGCTATTTCCCCACTCTACTGTCCAGAAGATGGAGCAAATTTTTCTTCTTCACATGTTGAAAACTTTAAATTCATTCTTCTTTGCCTTGAAAAGAAGAGCTGGCTATCAAAAATAACATAGTCTGAGATTCTTTTAGGTATCAGCTCTTTTTTGGATGGACTTTATTGCATTGGTTATCACATGTGTGCAGCTACAGGCTGGACATTACTACAGAATTCTGAATATTGAATGTCTACAACCTACACAACTACTTTAACTGTGCCTACCCGAGGTAGCAAATCAAAGCAATGAAAAAAATTCTTTCACACCTCCCAAAAAGATAATCAGACTCGGCCTCACACACACAAATATACACAAAGTTCTGCATACAACATCTAGAGAAAGGAGAGTAAAAACAGGTGAGGGATGAAGAGTCAAACTAACGAGAGGTGTCCTTTTAAGCCATGTAGAATGGGATTTGTCAGGCTTGGGCTGCCAGTGGGAGGAATGAGCCAGGAGCATGTGTGAGGCTTCCTTCAGACAGTACTGTGCTCATTCTGCACAGTGATGTTGTCCATGGGCAGTAGAGAGCAGGTCAGTGAGGATTAGACAGCTATGCTGGCTAAATGGTCATGGCAGTCACTCCACCCCTTGGAGTAGGCCAGAATTATAAGGAAGATCCCAAGCTGTCTTTAGAGTAAGCCTACTGTTCTGAGATTTCACAATAGAATTAAAAGAAAAAAACCATGACACAAATTTCCAGACCTCTTACTGAAAAGTTCTGAAACACCTGCATCAGATGTTGTGGTTTAAACATTTGACTTTTCAAAGGGTTTTTCTTTGCTCTAGCACCTGTAAAATCTCAGCTATTTCTATTTTTCATTTATAATCAGAGTGAAAAAAAGCTTTTTTTCCTACTTTCAGAATTGATGCGTGTTCACTGTTATCTAGCATTCCTCTTTCTTCTTCATATTTTTTCCCCTCTGGAGTTAAAGCTCATTAATATATCTTCTGTATGGTTAATTTCTTCCTTTCTTTGCAGTCTTCCTGTAACTCTGTCTAAACCAGTATGACAATTCAGAAAGGAATCCATTTGTGTAATGTATTAGGAAGACTGTTATTTCAAAACCTAAGCAAATTTCAGCAGTAAAAAAATGTAAACAAATATATAAACAGATAAAAGAGTTCATAATGTCTGCAAGAACAATAATGAAGTATTTTGGCTTCCTAAATAGTAAGAAGAAATTTAATTCATATTTGTTTTAATTGTAGCTACTAATGAATTGTACAATCCAGGTAAATGGTTATCCCAAAATCATCATGACCATCATGGAGTAGGCATTATTTCTGGAGAAGTTATTCCAGAAGTGTAGGACAAAAAAAAGCTAGCAGTAAAATCGTTCAGCTATTCAGTTGTACTGTATCTCAGTCTCCTCAGCCTGGGTCATCCTCAAGCTCTCAAGAAAAACTCTGAGACAAAGACTCTGCAGGGTATACCACAGGGTTTTTTTTCTGTGAGAAAAAAGCATTGATGAGGAGTAGATGGTGGCCACATTTCTGCATGTGTAACTGATAAAAAGCCTAATTAATTGTCTTAGTTGCACTCATGTTCACACAAACTTGTTGTGAGTGGTACCCTTTAATATTTTCTTCCTACCCAGCAGTTAATTCAGTGGTGTACTTTTCACTCACTACTATTTCCAAGTAATCTTTAGAAAAATTCAGTTTTCTCCATGTTCTCTTTCTGCCTGTGGTTCATCTTCAGCTGCTTAAGCACTGTCTTTGTTTAGCATAACTTTCTATTTGGCATAACCAGCATTGTCACAGAAAAGAAAACCCCATTGCTTCTTGCAAGAACCTCTCCAGATGTTCCCAGGATTGGAATTCACCCATTCTTTGTGTCAGGAACACTCATCATTTCTTTCACATCGATGGTTATAGAGGGTAAGAACTCTTCGTTTCTTTTCATGTTTTTCTGGTTTTCGTATGTTTTCTTTGA